CGGTCCCACCCGAGGGCCCGGCACAGCCGCCTCCCACGGTCCCACCCGAGGGTCTGGCACAGCCGCCTCCCACGGTCCCCTCTCAAAGGTCCCAGCACAGCCACCTCCCACAGTCTCCTCTCAAAGGTCCCAGCACAGCCGCCTCCCACAGTCCCCTCTCAAAGGTCCCAGCACAGCCGCATCCCACAGCCCCAACCCGAGGGTCCGGCACAGCCGCCTCCCACAGTCCCCTCTCAAAGGTCCCAGCACAGCCGCCTCCCACAGTCCCACCCGAGGGTCCGGAACAGCCGCCTCCCACAGTCCCGCCCGAGGGTCCGGCACAGCCGCCTCCCACAGTCCCCTCCCAAAGGTCCCAGCACAGCCGCCTCCCACAGCCCCACCCAAGGGTCCAGCACAGCTGCCTCCCACAGTCCCCTCCTTGCCCAGGACTCACTTGCTGGGGACCTGAGACAACCCTCAGTCCCAGCTGCCTCCAGCCCCAGAGGAACAGAACAAGGCGCTGTGTGCGCATGGGAGGCGACGGTCTTCAGGAAGGGGTGGTTGTCTGGGACAGGCAGGTCCGACGTCCTTGAGTCTGAAGCCCCGGGTGGAAGCCCAGGCAGTTTCCAGATTCCAGCCTTGTGGGGGATGTTTCTCCTGGCGGATGCGGCCCACCCCATGAGGAAGGGTCCCCTGCCAGTGTCACAGGTGACTGATTTAAGTTCATCTCATCTAAAAATGGCTTTGCAGCAACGCCCAGACTCACGTCCCGCCAGGCTGTGCACCGTCTACCATGTGGGCATGGGAATCATGGCGCAGGCCCCACCCGCCTCATTGGCCAGCCTCCCTGGGCCCCCTGGCATCTTTCACACCTGGCACTATTTTTGACAAATGCCACACCCCCAGGCCTCAAAGCAGAGAGTCATGTGTGTACCATGTGTCCCGTCTCTTCCATGGCAGAACATGGAACATGCAGAACCCCCGTCTGTGTTTCTAGAACTGCCTGGCTGCCCCGTGCACTTCCTGGCTCCAGGCCCTGGCACAGAGCTGGGGTAAGCCAGAGCTGGCCCTTGGAGTTCCAAACCCAAAACAGCCAGCCGCCGAGGCCGGCAGGACACTGAGGCGGCACTGAGGGGCCAAGCGATGGCCGAGCCGGCCCTGCGCCCGTCTGGCAGGACTCCCGGGCCTCACAGGGACGGCCGCAGTGGCCGAGGAGTAGGCAGCCCCAGAAACCGGCAAGGGGAAGGGAAGCTGTGTAGCCAGGATGCCGGTAGAGGGCACCCTGAGCCCAGCCCCACTGGTGCCTCCTCCCGGTGCCTGCCTCTGCCTCTCTGCAGCCCTGGTCCCACGTCCAGGCAGCGGCGGCAGGGGAAGCCGCCAGGGAGAGCCCTCCCAGACAACGGCCGCCCAGCACGCTCTGCCTGAGTTGAGGGGGTCGGGGGGGGCCGGGGCAGAGGCCTCTGCACGTTGGGGTGGGCCTGCCAGCAGGATGGGAGCAACCTTCTGTGGCCTCAGAAGCGGCTCCTGCTCCTGTTGGAAGCCAGTTGCAGGCCCGGCCTGCTCCTGGGGGTGGGGAGCACAGGTGACTTGAGGAGCCCTGCTCAAGCCACCTCCCACGGGGGCCTTGTGAGGAGGGCTTGTCTGTGGAGGGACAGCCCCAGGCTTGGGAGCGGGTGGCAGGCTGGCAAGGTGGGCCGGGGTATGGAGCAGTGTGGGGTGGGCTGGGCAGGTGGGTGATGCCAGCCATTCTCACTGGGCCCTGCGTCCAGCAAAGGAAGTGATGTGGGTCAGGCCCACCGGTCATGAGGTTGGCAGGACTGCCCCAGCCTGGGGTGGGGACCGCCCGCTGTGGTGGCACTAGGGAACCAGGGTCTGCGTGGCTGTGGCGAGCCCGGAACTGCCCTTCCCCAGCCAGGCCTGGAGGTCTGGAAGTGACTTCTACTCTACAGGGTGGGGACTGGCCCTGCCAGGCTGGAGCCACAGGGAAGCCACATGGCCACATGCCCTAAACATGGGAGGGCGGCCCCAGGGGTGCCGAAGCTGCCCTGCCCAGTGGGAGGGGGCACAGACCCCGGCATCTGCTGAGGCTGCCCTGTCTGGCGTCTGGTGGGAGGACACACAGCCCCCAGTATCTGTACTATACCTGTCCTGCCACTGCCTGTGTACAGCTCCCTGGTTTCCCTAGCTCCAGGCTGGGCACCTTGGCCAGGATGCCACTGGGCACCTGACTAGGGCTTAGCCAGAAACATAAAAGCAAGGCTGGGGGCAGGGAGCACCCTACTCCCCTCTCCTTTTCTTCCCAGTGGGGTCTCTAGTGAGTGTGCTGCCCAGGCATAGCTCGAGGGAGCCAAGGGGCACCAGTTAGGGCCATGGAACCTGATTAGGGTCATGGGTTAGGGCCATGGTGAAGGTCAGCGCATTCGGGTAGTGTTAGGGCCAGGGTTAGGGTGTTGGGGCCAGGATAAAGGTCAGGGTCAGGGCCACGGGTTCTGCCTAGCGCTGTGGAGAGCTGTTTCTATCGCGTGGGAATTGAGGAATTCCGCCGTTCCAACCCCAGGTTTGAGGGAGGCAGTGGTGTGGACAGCACCAGGCGTCCGTCCTCACAGCCTGTCTCCCACTGCCCAGGCTGGCCAAGAAGTCCTGGTTTGGGAACTTCATCAGCCTGGAGAAGGAGGAGCAGGTCTTCGTGGTCATCAAAGACAAGCCTCTGAGCTCCATCAAGGCTGACATCGTGCACGCCTTCCTGTCGGTGAGGCCACAAGTGCCAGGGCGGGCAGGCAGCCCTCCCACCCCACGCCACCCAGCTCCCCACCGAGAACGGGCAGCCCTCCCAACCCCACGCCGCCCATCCCCCCCGAGAACGGGCAGCCCTCCCAACCCCACGCTGCCCAGCCCCCCGCC